GGTTGCCGTGAATACCTTTACAGTTCTGTGTATGAGATATGATGCTAGTTTTACTCAAATCAAACGCTAAAATGCTCATGAAGTGACTCTCAGAGCAGTTCTGGAGATGTTGTTCATGTGTTTACGTCCTCATTTAGTGAGACGGCAGACGCTGAAATCACCGCGAGTGTCAGGCGCTCTTCAGTGTGTGTGTGTGTGTGTAGTAAATGAAACCGCGCGTCTGCGCCATTCATTAACAGAGACAGGCAGAACATGCAGGATTCATATTTAAATCAACTTTTGCGGCTTAATATTTACAGATACTAGTCCATATCGTGATTTGATTTAAGTGTAATGACCTACTTTTGATTAATTCATTCAAAATTTGACAAATTCTGTGACATTCCACGTTAGACTGTGAATTCTGTTTTTATGACTGGATAAAGACTACACTGTGTAATTTTCCTGCTTATCATGCGGCCACTTGCCTGATGTGAACATAATATCTTACATACCACCACTTGTGAACGAGCCAGTGTAATGCAAATATATCTGAAAGGTCTGCGCGAGGATATCGTCACGTTCTCGCGAGACACATCGGATCTCGCGAGATCTCGTGCCACGAGACATACAGCCCTTGTCTACCGTTGGGGCGATGGTACTGAAGTTAGTGCCCGCTTTTGGCAGAATTCTGCAAGGTTCAAAAGAAGACAAGAAAAGATGGTTCTGGGCTGGAAAATTGGGCTTTGCATCGGCTCCTTAAACATGTTGGACTTGAACCAGGAATGAGTAATGCAGTGGCCTGGGGTGTAGGATAAAAAAAAAAATCACCAAAAAAAAAACTAATTGAAAACTACAGTTTTACATTTTAAGTAAAATCCAAGTTTTGCAGAAGTTACAACTTGAAATGTTGTGCAGTTTTTCAACTCTTTAATTACGATTTAATTCCTTGTACAAAAAAATATATATTAAAGCTGTAAAAATATGATTTAATCTATCATTATTAATAAATTATTCTGTAAATAATACATCTATTATTATACACAAAATAATGTATTAATATTAAGAAAAAAATGACCGAATTACTGTGAAGAAAAAAAAAAAGATTTGGCCTATGGATGATGTTCTTATTTCCATTTGCATGAAATTGCTTAAATAAATTGCTTTGGTTGCTAAAATATATTCTCAGGATATATGGGAAGGATAAAAATTTCATGTAAAAAAAAAATAAACCTAGGTTTTAAAGTTTACAGTAAAATCTAAGTTGTGCAGAATTTACAGTTACAGCACCATTATTTCCACCACTTGTTAATTAGATCTAAGATCTATTTTTTTATAGATCTGAAATCTATCTGTAATGAGATCTGTGCTTAATAAAGAAGCATCTGTAATGAGATTACAGCCATAATATTTTGATAATGTTTAATGAATCAATAAAAGTGAATCATTCTCATTGAGAAACCTTGTTTTAGATAAAAAAAATTAATTATTACCCACAGAAATGTGTCATGATGATTTGCAATGTGACTGGGGATTCAGGAGTAAAGCTGCTTCCTCATATAGAGATGTATAGAGGAAGTCGTTTACTCCTGAATCCCCAGCCCATCATTTGAAAGAATGACTTTGGTAACTGGATAATTATTAACATAACTATAAATTTCATTGGCATTTAAGGTGTAACAAAGTTGGCATAATAAAACATTGTTTCTTGTTCTGTTTGGCTTGTTGGCATGCGGAGGATTTGATGCGCAAAGAAACCTGTCAGTGAATCAATAAAAATGTGCTGTTGCTTCCAGATCTTAATTTCTGGAAATCACATTGTATTTGATGCAAAATGAATCAACTATATTAAATTAAAAAAAAAAATTTTTAAATGTAGCTGCGTATTTTCATGTTTCTCATGTTTCAAAGTCCACTGAAAACATTTACCTTTTAACAATGTTTGGCATAGACAAAGTTTGATGAATGTACACGTTATTTGACAACATGCTTGGGCAAAGTAATTAAAGTGAAAATGTCTGAGGATTTTTATCTTTATTTTTATCTTATACTTTCTGAGGATTTTTATCTTTATCCCATTTTGTTCCATTTCGTTTATTTCTATATGTATATGTATACCAATCTCTCTCTCTCTCTCTCTATATATATATATAGAAACAATTATTTGCATTATTTTTTATTATTACTTTTTCTTTTTTTGTTGTATAATACAATAACTGAAGTGGTTTTATTTTATATTTCATTACTATTTATTTATTTTTCATTTCTATTCATTACTTTTATTTTACAATTACTATTCATTACTATTAATGATCATTTCTAAGGGTTTTACAGGCTTGTAAATCATAATTTTAAAATTACGATATACTGTAGAAAATGCCTCACAATATACTAGGGGTGTAACGGTACACAAACATGACGGTTCGGTACATACCTCAGTTTCGACGTCACGGTTAGGGTTAGGTTCGGTATGATTTCGGTACAGCAGGAGGAAAAAATACTAAACATATACATACATATATATATATATTTTTTTTTATATATATATATATATATATATATATATTATCATTTAAATTTTCTTTAAATCTACCTCATAAAATAAAATTTAAAAAAATCTATAGGCCTACAAATCGACCTCAGCTTCTGCTCTAAACTATAGGGAGCCCTTTTACATTGCCATAAGGCTACAATTAAGAACAGAGCCCACACTTTAATTTAATTATCATTTATTTTTATCTGTAATAATCAACACTCGAATTAACAACTTGTATGCAAACATGTAAATGAACTATTTGTTGTTGAAATATAGTGGCTGTCATAACTTGCTTCATAAAATATTTATTTAAATAATCATTACAAAATTAAGACATCACTAACAGGTAAAGTAAAATATAATGAGCATATAGTCTAATATTTCGCGAAATGCTCTTCTCTAGACTTAATTTCTCTGAACTAACGACATTTTGTTTACAAGCCGTTTTAATCACATCTTTCTACGAGTGAAACACTGATTGTGCGATTACACGTGGCATGAGATGTTTTTTTTGCATTAAAACTAGAAGTAAAGAGGAAGGGATGCCGTCAGAAATGAGCCGTTTATTTTTTGTCTGAATTTCCCGAAAAAAATTGAATGATTTGTTCGGTACATGTGCGTACCGAACCGAAAGACCCATACTGAAAATTTTCGGTACAAATACATGTAGCGTTACACCCCTACAATATACACAAAAAGGATACATATAAAGTCAGAAGCCTCGGTGTGTTTGAAGCTTTCAGAGTCACTGACAGAAACTTCTCCAGCCTTTCCCTCAACTCTGGTATCCAGGAATCCTATGATCCAGTAAAAACAACAACAACAACACGTTAAAAACTCCTCTGCATCAAGCAAGTGCTCAGTGTACATAGCTACAATATGATGCACCTATACGAAAACGCATCCTAGTGTATACTTTTCTAAGAACTAACCTCAGATTGTTTTGTCATGATTTTAATCAGCTGGTGTTTTGGTGACTGTTATGTGTGTTGTACCTGGAAAAGCTCCTGGAAGGACGGGTGTACCGTGGGATTGGGCACAAACGGCAGAGCGTAGAACGGCAGGAATTCGGTGGTCTGGCTCAGTGACGCCCCTCTGGTCTCCAGATAGTGTTTGAAATGTGTGATCCTGTTGTCAAACTCTCCTTTATCCTGTATTACACAAACATATTTTTACATTTAACAAAAAATGATTTGCATCTTGACTGAAATCTAATACCATCTCATTCAAATACTGATTCAAGTCATGTATTTGACTGAACGAGAGGTTTGCTTGAATATTTTACTTCATGAGGACATCTGCTGGTCAAAGAGAATACATGCATTGTAGATTTGTCTATATGGTACATTTAAAAATGGTCATTTCATTACTATTCCCAACAGTAAAATGTACTTACGTGACTTCCTACAGGTGATTTCAGTGGGTATATTGTAAAATGAATTTGTAAGTAGAATTCCAGTTTCTGAGCTACTGGATCAAAATCCCGAATCTCCGGAGGAATGGTTTTAGCCCACAGCTCAGAGAATACCTTATAGTCGCCATCATTAAAAGAGCTGAGAAAATCACCCTATTGGGAGGAAAAAAAACGAGCTCTTAAAGGGATAGTTCACCCAAAAGCACAGACATATCCAAATTAAACCCTGCGGCTCGTGACGACACATTGATGTCCTAAGACACAAAACGATCGGTTTGTGCGAGAAACCAAACAGTATTTATATAATTTTTTACATCTAATACACCACTATGTCCAACTGTCTTTGAGCGCGCACGACATCCGATGCGTGAGGTGTGTACGCGCTCTGTTTACGCAAGCGCCGGAAGTGATCTCTCGCGCGTATACGTCACTCATTGTTTACACAGTGCACAGTCATTGTAGGTACGACGGCTAATCAAAATGGTACTTACTTGTGCTTATCCGGATTGTTCAAACCGACTTAAAACTAAAAGATTACGTTCTCTCGCGCGAACTCATTCGGGAGTGGTGACTTTCCACGTATTCCCAACTTCTGAGCCTGCTCGCCTGAAGTTATGGTTGATTGCTCTTCGGCTGGATATCAACACACCCATTAACGTAAGCTACGCCAGAGCGCGTACACACCTCACGCACCGGATGCCGTGCGTGCGCCCAAAGACAGTTGGACATAGTGGTGTATCAGAGGTAAAAAATGATATAAATACTGTTCGGTTTCTGGCACAAACCGATCGTTTCGTGTCTTAGGACATCAATGTGTCGTCACGAGCCGCAGGGTTTAATTTGGATTTGTCTGTGCATGTTTTTTTTACTCTCATAGATTTTGTTACCATTGCCATGCATTATATGACTGATAGACTGCAACGGTTAACGTTAAAAATCATCAAATGTGTTCTACTGAAGAAACAAAGTAGGTGACATCTTGGATGCCCTGGGGGTAAGCAGATAAACATCACATTTTCATTTTTGGGTGAACTATCCCTTTAAGTAATGAATTAACTTTTAAGTTGCTTTTTATTTTTAAATATATTATTATTATTATTATTAAAAAAATTACAAATACTAAGCGGTTTGTAAATAAATAAATAAATGAGTAAATAAATAAATAAGTAAATAAATAAATACAGTTTTTTTTCCTGACATTTTATTTATTTATTTATTTTTTCAAAAATGCTTGCAATGACGTAATGACAGCAATATTTTCAGGACATGAAAGCTAAAATTATATAAATATAACATAAATATGTATAAATATAACATAAATCATTAATATCAAGTAATTTATAAAAACTGTAAATTTTAGTTGCTTTTCACTTGTCAGTCTTTTTTTTTATAATTAAAATAAAATTTCCAAATACTGAGCAGTTTGGTAATTACAGCTTTTATCTGAACATCCAGCAAAAGTTTTCTTTTATTATTATTATTATTTAAATATTAATATATTACAGATTATATATAAATTATAAATACATTGTATGTGTTAACATATTTCTGATATTTCAACTTCTAAACTTTTTAGAAAAAATCTCAAATGCTTTGCACGATGTTAATAAGCCGTGTTGGGTACAATGATTATGTATATATATAAATACTGTATATATCAAATTTATTAAAATGACAACTTCTTATGAAAAAGTGCAAAAGTTTGGAACATTTCGGAATTCCGGCTAATAACATTAACAAAACAGGGGGAAAAAAGTACTTAAAGAGACTATTTAAAAGTTAAATAAACTTTAGCTGATATGTTTATAATAAGATTATTCTAAAGCAAGCTAATCTGTGAAATACTTTACAACACTGATTCTGTTTTGTAAAAATTGTACATATAAATATCAAATTGACAAACTTTTTTCTGAAAAAGCGCAAAAGTTTCTACGATTTTAAAATAGCTGGCTAATAACATAAACAAAACAGGAAAAGGTAATTAAAGAGACCATTTAAAAGTAGGGATGCTCCGATCCGCCTTTTTCGCTTCCGATACCGATTCCGATACCTAGGGTTCAGTAGAGAAAAGAGTTTGTGTGAACTTTAATGTAAGGACTTAAATATTCATATGTAGCTCACATTAAGCTATCGTATGGCTTCAGAAGTAACACAGAATAATTCGCACAATTGAAAAAAAAAAAAAAAATCTCAGATTTGGATCGGCTCTCTCTGCCCGATACCCGATCCGAGAAAAATGGCACTATCGGAGCCGATACCCGATATGAATATCGGATCGGCGCATCCCTATTTAAAAGTTAAACTTTTGTTAATATGTTTATACTACAATGATATTAAAGCACGCTAACGTAATAGAAAAACACTGCAATTTGAAAGTGTATGTTATTTTTGAATAAATGAGATCAGAAAGCAGTCTCACGTGAATGCCGATGGTCTTGGAGTCTCGCCGTGAGTGTCCTGCACTTTTGAGGACAGGTTTTCCTTTGCGTCTGACTTCCTTTTCAAACACTTTCACAGTCTCTTCAAACTCAGCGAACTTCAGATACTGTCAATTGTTACATACTATGTCACTGTATGTCTATACCCTTACGAAAAAGAAGTTTATTCAAGTGTGCTATTAGTATACGTCTTTTAAACTAAAAAGAGGAAAGTATACTTTCAGTTTAATTTTTTTGTACTTCTCAGAAATGGGCTTTATGTACTTCTCAGAAATATACTTAAAATGACATTTAAGTATACTTGACTTATACTTAGAAAAAGTCTAAATATATTTGAGCTATACTTGTGTATACTTGTGAATGTTTTCATTGTTATACTGTAGGGGGCGCTAGTACACATCTTCTGTACAGAATATCCAAAACACAAGAGAAGAAAAAAACGAAACATCTTTTGATGTTTTGTATGTTCAGATATTCATGTAACAAAATATTGAAATAGTACACTTACAAGTATACTACTAGTACACTGATATTTGTATACTTACTACATAAAGTATACTTAAAAATATACTTGAACTTTACTCAAGTATACTTAATAAAATAAACTTGAAGTATACTACTTTTTGGTAAGGGTACCTGTGAAATATATATTTTAAATCAAATAATAAGAGTGGTATGTAAGCCCACCTCGTTGATCACTGACAGCAGATCACTTTCACTTGCCAGATCCTCACCCATCTTCTCAGATTCCCTGGAGCTCATTGATCCACAATCTAAAAAAAAACACAAAAAAAAACATTAATTTTAAAACTGGGATACTGTGACAGAAAATATCAGAACTCAAGATGATGAAGTCTCTGCTAAGTACTAAATATCACTTGTTAACAGCATTAGGCTGCATATAATCCCTGAAGAAATCGACACAAAGCCAACAAAACACATCATTTGCTTTACAGATAAGTCACTTGAGAGGCGTTTTATCTTCGTTCTTCTTCAGCTCGAAGCAAAACAATCTGGTTATGCAGAAATAAGCTAAGCGTATGCTGCTAAAAACACTACACGTGTTTATTGGTAAATAATAATGAGCTGCATAAACAGGTAAGTTATACCAAATCAGTCCGAGCAGCTGAGTCCTTAACCATCTTCAAGAAACGACTAAAAACACATCTGTTCCACCTTTATTTGACCCTCTAACTCTAACACTTTCTATTCT